TTAGGGTTTGGGGATTAGGTTTTGGGGATTAGGTTTTGGGGTTTGCCAATTTAGGGTTTCGGGATTAGGATTTAGGGTTTCGGGTTTAGGGCCAACACACTGTTCACTCCAAACCGCGAAACCAGGAAGCGCTAAGAACCCCGTGCAGAGCCCTTGTCCTATTCGGCCCCGTTTTTTTCTCAATCTGCCCGTCAGCTGTAGCACGGTGTGGAGATACCTAGACCCTAGACTCCATTAAGATGTATTCCCCTTGTTTTTCGAATAGTCTGTTCTACCGTCAAGGATCCTTCAATAAACAAAGCACCAAACCCTGAACCCTAATCTCCTCTCAAGCCCTACTAAACCCCTAAGCCCTAAAAGCCCTAAGCGCTGCATTGCAGGGTCTAGGTAGGGAGTCATCCGCTAAACCCTATATAAGCCTGAAATGCCTTAAACCCTAAACCCGAAAACGCTAAAGCCCTAAACCCTGAAAGCCGTAAGCCCTACAAACCCTGAAAAGCCCTAAACCCCCCTGAAACCACCCTTCCCTGGGATCATACCTATAGTCTCCATTGTAGTTCCTTTTTTTTGGTTTAACCAAATCTATATTAAGGAGCCTAAACGGTAACCCCAAAAAGGAACTACAATGGAGACTGTCGGTTTAGTGGAACGTGGGAAACTGCGAGGCTGAGCAGAGCCGCGGGAAGCAGCGCAGCGGGAGCAGGTCGGGGAAGCGCTTTGGGTTTGTGGCTGAAGTGCCCAATATGGGTAGTTCTCTAAAGTAGGGTCCCCTTTTTAGGTGCCCAATATATCGTACGGCACCCTTAATAAAAAAAGAAAACGGACCCTAAAAGGGACCCTAGTTTAGAACACTTCCCATAACATATCAACCTTAAGCCATTGCTGTGTAGACCGGCGAGTGTCTCCCCAGGCGTTTTTTTTCATATGAAAATGTGAGCTACTGGACCTCTAGGGTTTCTGCTAGTGGGATTCTGCCAGGGTTTTGTAGCTCTTCTGAAAAAAAACAGGGGTTCCCTTGTCTGGGTTTTCAACTTTTTTGGCTTCTGAGCTTGTGTTCGATACCCGCATTTCACACTGTCCCATACGTCCGCCGCCCGCTTTGCCTAAAGCACCTTAGTCCCTTACCTTGCAGCCGTGCTCTGTTGTTTCCATGGTGCTACTGTGGTCATTTTGGCCGTTGCTAACACCAGTCGCGGCTGCTGTGGAAGCTGAGTGGGTCGATCTCCTTCAAAGCAGGGCCCGACAATTCACGACTATCCTCGAGACATCCCAGCCAGAGCCGTTCGTCACCGTGACGGCGCGCAATGTGTCGCTCAATGCCTGGGGTAATGAAACGGCTCCTGGGGTCGCCCTGGAGCTCGTGTCTGGGTCGACAGCCATCACCATGGAGGCTATCAAAATCAAAGGTGGGCTGATCCAAAGCTTTAGCCTCAACAACCGCAACATCTTACTGCAACGGCCCCACATGGATCAGATGGATGGCAACATCTTCTGGCCTGGCCCCCAGTCAAAATGGGGCTGGCCACCCCCTAAGGCCATTGATCCAACACCGTCTAAAGACTTCACCACTGCCTATGCTCTGGAGATCGACTTCATGACTCGCAGCTTCGAGCTTTTTAGCCCCGTCTGGGAGGAGCAAAACCTCTCTGTTTCCAAGAAGGTCTCGGTGGATGTCTCACGGATGTCTTTCCTGATAGACTATGGGATTCATGTCGGTGGAGACACGAAGATAAAGTGGGCCCCATGGGAAATCTCCAGGGTGCAGCCCTATGGCTTGACTTTCTTCAAAACTGGTTCAGAACAGACTTCTGGCACATGGCCCTCGCTGGATTTGAAGCACCGTGATGGCGTGACATGGTTCCCGCAGGTGGGTGACAAGGCATCCGGAAAGCTGTTTGCCAGCACCGTGCCATCACTGCCATCATCAGAGATGTCATGGTTGGCTCACACGGATGGCGCACTACTCTTCGTAAAGTGCTTCCACCATATTCCCAACGGCACGCAGGCTCCTGGAGAGCTGCAGATCGAAATTTATGATGGCACCGACTATGTGGAGGTTGAACAGCAGGGTGCCTACCAGGAAGTGTTCCCTGGCCAACCGGTGACCTGGAGGGTGGAATGGCTTCTGAGAGAATTGCCTGCCGGTGCGAAGCCCATTCCGGGTGAGCGTCTCCTCGTGGCTGCCGCTGACGAGCTGTGCTCGTGAGTCTGACTGCACACAGATGCTGGGGGCCCATGTACCCAGACGGTGCATACTTAGGCCGTAAAGGTACTTGCTCATGAGTCACAGGGCCCCATGCTCTGCTGCCCGCGAAGCAACGTGGAATCTCGGATCCCTACTGCACTTTTGGACCTGTGCCGAAAACCTCGAAAAGAGCAGGTGCAACCGTTACCTGTCTCTTCCCTTTGCGATGGTGCGAACCGAGTCCCGTACTTGCTGCCCAAGAAACCTTGGCTTGAGACACCTTAAAGCCTAAACCCCAAGCTCTCAGCTGAAGCAACTCGCCTCACCCCGAACCTCCCCCTCCCCCCCGAACCCACGCCCTATATACACCCTCAAGTCCTAAAAACCCAAAACCCGAAACCTCCATTCCCCCCTCAAAACAGACTCCTCCGTATAACCTTAAACTTCAAATCCCGAATCCTATCTTAACCTACCAAAAGCCACGTTTGTAGGTTCTTATTATAAAAACCCCAATATGGGATTTATAGGGACCCTACCAAAAAAGTAGGTTTTGGTGGGTTAAGGTAGAGTCCACCCGCTCCAGGAGCCGAACCTCCCAAGAAATCGGTCCTCGGCCGCGCTGTCGGACTCGTTGCCGTGGCCGGCGCTGCCGGCGGCGCCGGCTACTTCCTCGGGCGGCAGGAGCGCAGGATGTACACAAAAGGGGATCGTAGGAGTTGAATTATGAGGAGTTTCAGGGAAAGTCGTGGGCTTTTGTTGTCGTCGGGCCATCGTTGTTGTTCATGGCATTCCTCTTTTGTTTTCTGTTTTCGCGCAGTTGTTCTTGCGGCAATGTGTGTGTAGGGTGGTTGCTGCTGTGTTGATGTTGGTGTTGTCGTAGTTGCTGCTATTGATGTCGCTGTCGCTGTCTCCACTGCTTCTGTTGGTGGGGGTGGTAGAGGTGATGGTGGTGGTATGGTAGCACGAGGTGGCGGTGGTGGTGGTGGTGGTGGTGGTGGTGGTGGCGGCGGTGGTGGTGATGGCGGTGGTAGGGGTGCTGCTGGTGATGCCGTTGCTGGTCCAGTTCCTGTTCCTGTAGGTCCTGTCTACCTCCAGCGTCGCTAGTGAGTCCTTTTCTGGGTAATAGCCCAGTTTCATGGTTAGGTTATGCTAGAATCCCACAAGACAGACCAGGTACAAACCAGCGCAAGGAGCCGCGGTGGAGACCCATAGGTAAGCCGCAAACCCTGCAAAGGGTTCAGGGTTTAGGGTTTAGTTTAGGGTTTAGGGGTTAGGGTTTAGAGTTTGAGATTGAGCACTTGGACTCAAACCGAAGCACTACCCGAAGCTCGGGCTCTAAATCCTAAACCCTAAACTGGGTTCTTGTTAGGGGATTTATTTTAAGTTACCATAATATGGAAACCCTATTATTTACTATAGGTCCCTATTATGGTAGCTGAAACTAAATCCTTTAGCAAGAACCCAGTAAACCACATGCATTTCGCGCCGAGCATTGCATCAGGACGCCCCGAAGCCAGTGCCGCCCACACCAAAGGCAAGCCGCGAGCCGTTGCCGGCAAAGGTAGCTGCAAAGGCCAGGGCTGCCACCGTTAGGTTTAGGGCGCTTAGGCTTTTGGGTTGTGAGGCTGGGGTTTGGGAAGTTTTGGGGTTTATGTAGGGCTTATGCCCTAAACCAGCACCCCGAAAACCAACGAGTCCTTAACCCCAGACCCTGAACGGCCAGACTCTTCTCGGCCTACACCGCACAAGCGACCTCAAGGTCTGTAGGATCAAAGAGGATCCGAACTACCTTCAAAGGGCCACATGGATAGTTCTCTAAATTGGGGTCCCCTTTTAAGGTCCTTTTTAGAAGGGTGCCGCACTATCTTGGGGACCTAAAAAGGGACCCTAATTTAGAGAACTGCCCACATACCACAGCCACAGCCGTAACCTACCCCTCCTCAAGCCTAAAGAAGCCACCAATTCAGGGTTCCATGGAAGGTGTTTCGAACTTCCTGGAGTCTTTTTGGGGCTTGTAGGGCTTAGGGTTTAGGGTTTAGGGTTTGGTGGGTCGCTGCAGATGGGGTTGAGGGCAAAGAGGGAGCATCTGACCGTTTCCGCCCAGCTTTCGGATTTAAAGGACCCTTCAAGGAGCCGTAAAGCCCCAATAGGACCCTTCACCCCATACAAAAACCTTTGAACACCCTTAAGGGAACTAGAACGCCTTTAAAAGGGACTAGAATTATGTAGAATATCCTTATTAAAGGAACCAGAACACCTTTAAAGGGACTGGAATTATGCAGAGCATTCTTAAAGGAACTAGAGCACCTTTAAAATGACTAGAGCTATGTAGAACATCCTTAAAGGAACTAGAACACCCCTTAAGGGAGCCCTTCAAAAGGGAGATCAGCCCAGCCCTAAACCCTAAACCCCACCCCCTAACCCCTAAACCCTAACCCCTAAACCCTAACCCCTAAGCCTAAAGCCTAAACCCTACAGCCTAGGCCCTAAACCCTAAACCGTAAACCCTACAAACCCTGTAAACCCTAAACCAGCCCACTCTGACAGGCGCCTCCAACTGCGGCAACTCCCCCTGCCGAAGCGAAGCAGGACTCGGGGGTTTAAGGCTTATAGGGTTTACAGGGCTCATAGGGTTTATAGGGCTTATAGAGTTTATAGGGTTGTTTTTTAAAGGGTTTTTAGGGTTTACAGGGTTTATAGGGTTTGTAGGGCTTAGGGTGTGTAGGGTTTAGGGTGTATAGGGTTTAGAGGTTTTTAGGGTTTATAGGGTTTAGGGTTTTTAGGGTTTTTAGGGTTTGTAGGGTTTGTAGGGTTTAGAGTCTAGGAGTTTGGAGTTTAGGGTTTAGAGGGTTCTCTAAAGATCCGTTTTGGCGCTTTTTAGACTATATACCCTAAACCCTACACCCCTTTATAGGATCCGTTTTGGAGATTTGTAGAAAAAGCTTACCTCGCATGGTTCTTGGCAGGGGTTCATGAGGGTCTTAAAGTGGCTTTGGGGATCAGAGTCAGCCCACGGGGTGGAGAGTTCAAGCTTTGAGGGGGCAGGGTTTAGGGTTCAAGCTTTGAAGGGTTGAGGTTTAGGGTTCAAGCTTTGAAGGGTTGGGGTTTAGGGTTCATGCTTTGAAGGGTTAGGATATATCTCTCTCTCTATATATATATATAATATTTTTTCATATACACTCTCCCTCTATATATATATGTATATATACATATATACATTATATATATATATATATACACACACTCTCCCTCTCTCTCTCTCTATATATATCTCATGTGTGTGTGTAAGCGCAATGTCCACGAGGCAGCGAGTCCTCCGCCGCGTGCCTCGGCCGTGGCCTCCACCGAAGCGGCCCCCTCCGAGGGCGCGAAAGCCGAGGTCTGCTTTTGGGGTCTCAACGTTCAGGGACTTTAGGGGTTTTAGGGGGTTTTAGGGCTTTAGGGGTTTTAGGGTTTTTTAGGGGTTTAGGGCTTGAGGGATTTAGGGTGTTTAGGGATTTAGGGCTTACCCATAGGCCCCTAAGTAGTTCCTTTTTTATGGTTTATGTTTAGAATCCTATATGGTAATCCCAAAAAGGAACTACTTAGGGGCCTATGGGTACGGCTTAGGGGTTCAGGGGTTTGGGGTTTAGGGCTTTAGGGGTTTAGGGGTTTTGGGTTTTGGGGTCTCACTGTTTAGGGATTAGGATTTAGGGTCTTATAAGGTCTTGGGGCCGAGGGCTTGGCAAGGTGTAGGGTTTAGGGTTTATGGGTTTAGGGTGTGGGGTTTAGGGTTGCTGAGTGTGCTAGGGTGTTTTTGCTGTTTTTTGTTTCGGGTTTCGGGTTTAGGGGTTGCCGTAGAGGCTCATGGGATGTGGTAGCTGGAGTTCTTATTTAGGGTAGCCAGACTTCTACTTACTTATAATCCGAGTTAAGTTAGGTATATGGATAGTTCTCAAAATTTGGGTCCCTTGTTAGGGCCCTTTTTTTTTATAAGGGTGCCGTACTACATTGGGGACTTACAGAGGGACCTTAGAATGGAGAACTACCCATATCTTTGACTGCCAAGTCCCATGATCCTCCAAGCAGGGACCAGGGCTTCAGAAGGATGAGGTTTAGTTTAGGCTTTAGGGGTGTAGGGCTCAGGGGTGTAGGCTTTAGGGGTTTAGGAAATAGGGCTTTGGGGCGTTAGCGGTTTAGGGCTTTCGATGTTTACGGTTCCTTTGAGCATACTATACGGTGTTGAGGCTTTTTGGGTTTTGAGTGTTATGGCGATTTTCATGGCTTCGGGCTTAGATTAGGCTCCCCGGGGTTGGGGAGTTAGGTTTTGAGGTTTATAGGGTTTATAGATGGTCCTTTTAAAACAGCGTCTTCACTATACTGAACCAATGAAAGGCTTTTAGTTAGGTGTAGGGCTTTGTAGGCTTTTCTTGAGCAGGATGGGCCCCTAAACCCTAAACCCTAAAGGGCACAGCAGAGCGGATTGGAGACTTCGGGACTTCGTGCTTCGTTTCCCACAGAAGGTTTCGGAGGTTTCTGGCCCTAGTTTCAAGGTTTAGGGTTTAGGGCTTAGGGTTTAGGGATTGATTAGGTTTTAGGGTTTAGGGTTTAGTGTTGCGGTTTATGGCGTGGGGCCTGAAACATTATTGAGTCATCATGAAGGTCCTTTTGTTGGGGCGCTGAGGCTGCAACCGACCAAGTAGTCCTGTCCCAACCGGTTCCAAGGGCCTATCCCAAAACGGAAACTAAGCCCCGAAACCCTAAACCCCTAAGCCCGAAACCCCTAAACCCTAAACCCTAAACCCCTGTCAATCCTACGCCCTAAACCCTTATGCCAAGCATAGTAGTTGCCCGATGTAGGTATGGAGGATCCTGTGCTGAGTCTATGCGTTTACGGTTTACCGTAGGGGTTTCGGTTTGGGGTTGACTGTAGGGTTTAAGGTGTACTGCAGGGTTTAGGGTAGGATTTATAGGGTTTAGGGTGTACTGTTTAGGGCAAGTTTAGGGTTGTGATGTGAGAAGAAGAAAACAACAACCCGCAC